GATTGAAATCCTCTAAAGATCTCATTTCAATTGCTGGGAAAGAAAGATCTCTGCAAATACATGAAAACCACTGCCTCTGGCATGATTTCCAATGCGTGAGCTTTCATTAGTTACCAGCATTTTGCTGTACTCAACTGAGTAGCTTAGGTTTTCTTGGTTTTTGTTGGTGGGATGGTGAATGTGTGTGTGTGTGTGTGTGTGTGTGTGTGTGTGTGTGTGTGTGTGATATCTCAGTTTTGAAGGGTTTGTCTTAGACACGTTGGAATGGTAATACATATTCATGAAAGATTGCTTTCCCCCGGTCCCAGTGAGGACCTACAAAGCCCTAGCTGTCTCGAAGCAAGCCGACTGAGATTGTGTGAGGGCTCTGGGACCAGATTAGTACAAACAGCAAGTCCACTCCTCTCCTTGTTGGCCTGGCCTTCCTGACAATTTCCCCAATTGTCGCTTTGTGACAAGGCCTGTCATTACGTGATGGCTTCTTTTGGCCATTTTCAGATAAAGATAATTTCCTTAACTTCCATTTTATTTGACAACAAGCAGTTTGGAAGAGAAAGGAAATGCTTCGAGTCATTTATGGATTAGGGTTTTGTCACTTCAAAGGCATCTTTGATCTAAAAATATGTGCTGTACCAAATTCATTATGTCTTTCCTTAAAGAGCTCTTAAATTTATTGATCTTCTCCTCAATTATTCTGCTTTTACGTCCAGTAATGATGTGTGAGACGGCAGTGTGAGGAAAAGCCTAAGGAGAAGAGGGGGTAGAGGGGGGAATGGAGCCAACTGGTCATTTCTAAGGTCATTACATGAGGGAAACAACAGGTGCTTTTGTTCAGAGTGGATTCTTTTCGGAATCACTGGTGACAAAGGCCTCTCTGCTCCTCATTGCTGCACATAAGGATGTTGTACCAACCAAGTAAGACAAAAGTGTGTTTAACACTGAAACTCAAAAAGAAAAACCCAGCTTGTACCGAAGTTGGGTTTGTGATCATTTTTATCTTTGTTGTCCTGCGCATGTGTTTCCCAGCTCATTCATACCATGCAAAAACAGCAAGTGCCTTCTGTTGTTGACCAACACTTTTCTAGCTTCTGCTAGAGGCAATCTTACCTTGGTCTGAGGCTGCTCAGCTTGCTTAAAGTCTCACAACTGGCTGGCTGGAAAGATTCTACAAGCCAAACACAAGAGGCTAAAACTCCATTGGTTAAGATGCATCGTATGCATAAATTGTAATGTTGAATGAAAACCCCTTTGTACAACTACTGAAAGACAATTTAAAAAATAATATTACATAGTGAGCAATTAGAAGGTCTGCCTGACCACTTAGCCTTTCTGGTGATACTGTTCTGATCCTATGTGAGCCATTTCTCATGTTTCAATCAACATGGTAATTTTAGGACAAAGAGATAAACAGTTTACATCCCAAATATCGCAATCAGCCATTATCCCCTCACACTTCATTTTTAATCATCAAGTGAAGACCCAACAAGCTGCTTATTTCCATTTCTGCAATTAAGCAAAGAGGTTAAAAGAAACAGCTGAGCAGCATGTGGTGGTACATGCCTGTACTCACTCTCAGCCCTTGGAAGGTAAAGGTAGGAGAATCCCTAAGCTCAAGATCAGCTTGTATTACATAATGAATTCCAGGCTAGCCTGGCTATGAAGACCCTCTTTTAAAAATAAAAACATCAACAACAAAATCCATTCAGTTTCCATTTTCTTGGTCTTATGCATTAATGACTTCCCTTCCAACAGTCTATACCACAATTTAAGAACATTCAGATACTTTTAGTATTTATATGTTCATTTTAGCAAATCATACACCTCAGGGCTCACACATGGGAGGCACAGGTAGTCTGCCCTTGAGCTGCACCTCAGTGTGGAAATATGCAACTTGTGGAGTATGACTGTAAGTTCCTCAAAAGCAATGAAATTTGCTTCTTTAACAAAAACAAAACAACAACAACAAAAACAATGCTCTGGGTTTCCAGAAATGAGTGTAGTGTAATGTAATGTTTTCCATTTTGAAAAACTAATATAAAGCTTTAGGACTCTTGGGGCTTTATTTATGCCTGGGATAAAAATAGCTCTTGCACAGAAATGGAGGGACAAAGGGTGGAAAAATGCAGCAGTGGTACTCATTAGACACTATGTGCAAAATGAACTATACAACTTACGGATGTGGACAGGAGGGAAGAGAGGGAGAGAATGAAGGAAGGGAATGAAGTGGTTCAAAAAGCAACGTACTCATTACCTGCCTTATGAAACTGTAACCCCTCTGCACATCACCTTTAGAATAACAATAAAAAAAAGCTTAAATAGCTCTCAAAGCAATGGGTAGAGCATTTGCCATGTGCATCGTCACTCAGAATCTGATTTAGCTGGTTTTTATAGACCAAAAAAAAAAAAAAAAAAAAAAGAGGTATAAAGAACCTACCAGCAACTCGCCCATTGTCTCAGATTCAGTAAGTGACAAAAGCCAGAATTCCAACCTGGATGCATTGGATCCAAAGCCCCATTCTAAATGTTGGAGCTGCCTCAACTTTCAGGACCTGGGCAGCCTACAGAGGTCTGTGCTACTTCCTGTCTAGGTCCTGCCCCACTTCAAGTGCATGTCAGTGTCTCCTTCTCTCCTCCCTTCTCTTCAGATTCTCAATCTTGATTTCTTGCCCCACACATTCCAGTTGAATGGGCAGAGAGAGCACAAAAAAGGAGAGAGGTTACAAAGTGGAAACTTGCCCTCTGCCTCAGTTTCTCCAGTGTTCCTTCTGCCTGCGCATTAAGCTTGGGTATTGGGACGAGGATTGACCTACAGAGATCTGTTAAGCAGAAACAGTGAGGATCATGATGTCTAGCAATCACTGTATCAATCACTGCATTAAAGATACTTGAGATAATTTCTCTTGACTTTGTTTTGGGTCTGTGTGTATGTGTGTGTGTGTGCGCGTGTGCACGCGCGTGCCAATTCTGGAGCTTGAAGTCAGGGCCTGGCACTGCCCCTTAGTTGTTTTTGCTCATGCCTGAGGTTCTATCACTGGAACCACACAGTTTCACTTACAGCTTTTTGGTGGTTAACTGGAGATAAAAAGTCTCAAAGACTTTCTTGTCCAGGCTGGCTTTCAACTTCGTTTTCACCAGAAAACTTTTATTTTTGTTTTTTAGTTATATGCATTCTTATTCTTTTCTCTAAACAGTCATGGTTAAATTGTTATTTGAAATGAGTGTGTGTGGAATAATGAACCTCGGCAGAATAGATTCCAGGATCATCACGAGAAGTAAAAGGCGATTCAGTGAAATGAAAGGCTTATATAAGTCCACTTAAATACACTTATGAATGTTTTGTCATCATCTGGATAGTTTTCAGGCATTCCAGTCTGTGTAAAAAGAGACAATATCTTGACTTTGATTGGTTTACATGTGTGTGAGACAGATAATACAGAAATACACACGAAGATGAGCAAAATAAAATAATACTGTCCATTTATCTTACAGAAATACACAAAGATGAGCAAAATCAAATAATTTTTATCTTAGATTTTTCATTTTTTTCCAAAAGTAGAGTGTATACTGTGAGGGAAATTGTCTTTTAAGTCTCTCTTGCTCAGACAGCAATGATTTTTGGTGCTTTTTTAATTTTTATAATTAAGTTTAAGTAGTTGTACAAAGAGGTTCCAATTCAACCTGTCAATTTATAAGTACATGTATCTTTAAAAAAATCAGTTATCTTGAAGTGGTTGTACAAAGGGGTTTCAATTCGACATGTCAGTTTGTGAGCTTGGTGCATCTTGACTAATGTCACCCCTTCCATCGTTCCCCCCTTCTCTCCCAACCCACCCATCCCTTCAAGTTACTTGGTTCCCTTTTCACATCTGCACGTTAACTCTGACGACTGTATTTGCTTACCTTTCCTTCCTCTCTCTATTCGTCTGTCTTCCTTACCCTAGTCTCCCCCAGCCCCTCCCACCTCTCCGGGCAACACATGCAGAAAACTTTGATTTGGATTTTCCTGTGAAACCAATAAACACCACTGGGTGTTGGTTTCGAGGGAGAGTTTTAGAGGAAGATCGCCCATCTGTCTTAGCATTCACCTGCTTTGTGGCATATGAATCCACGCTACAAATGGACAGCCAGCAAAGCTCAACCAGCAGCCAGGCTCTGAGGAGACAAAAGTAAACACTGGTTTCCAAGAGATTGCCCTGCTGCAATACGATATCAGCTGTGAGGGAAAGCCACCTCCTCCAGTCAACTGAGGAAAAAAAAATCATATTATCTTCACTGTGGTCTACAAATAGCTTGTAAGCCACATTCCCCGTTTGGAGGATGACAATGACAAGCTAACCTCACGGCTGTGGGCAGGCCTGATCCCATCTCTAAACACAAACACTTCTGCCTGGGTTGTGGCTAGGGGCTATGCTGTGGTCTCCCAACCCCCACCTTCTCCCCTCACCCCCTTGTTAATTGGCTGAGACCACCAGAATTTGGAGGACACAGATGTCACTGATAGCTTTCCTAGGGAACACATTTATGCCCATCTGTTGCAGCCTAGAAGGCTGTTCATATATCCACAAGGCCTTTATTTAATTCTTGTCAGAAAGTAATGTAAATCCAGTTTACCTCAGAGGTCGCAGTGAGATTTATGCCAATGAGCCCCCTGCAATTTACACACACTGTCGTTGTATAGGATGAAAAGAAAGCCTTTCATGTTGGTGAATATTAACGAGAGCCTGCCTTTCCAAGAGAGAGGGAGACAGAGAGAGAGGGGGAGAGAGAGAGAGGGGCTTTCTCATTGAGCTTTCTCCTGATTTTAATAGAGCCCATGCCAGTTGGTATACCCAGCTTTACAAAAGAGGAAGAAGGAGGAAAAGAAGAAGAAGAAGAAGAAAAAGAAGAAAAAGAAGAAGAAGAAGAAGAGGAAGAGGAGGAAGAAGAAGAAGAAAGAGGAAGAGAGGAGGGGGAGAGGAGGAGGAGAAAAACTAATCTTTAAACTAAAGTTTCTTCTTTTATAAGAATTGAAAGAAAAAGTGAGAAATCCTAGCAAAGGAGACTGCTATGTCTTTAATTATCTGTGGAGAGACAGAACACCCCTGAACTTGGAAAAGCCACCGTGTGACAAGTGAGCATGCATGTTCTGACCTGAATTATTACTTGAAGTCTAGGGAGAATTCCAATCATAAGCCATTATCTTTCAGTGTGAGCATTGTTGTCAGACGGACCAGTTGAGTTAGTCCTCCGCCTCCTCAGCTGTACCTTTCTAGTAGAGATAGAGGGAATAATGGAAGTTGGATAACTTTTTAAAGACCTGGCTAAGTAGCAATTGATCCACAGTAAAGCCGAAGAGTGCATACAGAGAAATATTTTTACTGGAAAACCTTAAAAGCATTTGAAAGGACTTCCATTGATCTTTTTTTCCCCCTATAGTGATATTCTGAAATATTCAGGTTTGTGTCAATAGGCTAGAAGGCAAATGGTTTTGGAGACACCTCTGGGCCAAAGTCTTCTTTAATGTGACTTTGGACAAGTTACTTAACCCCCATGACTCTCAGCCTTGTCATCTCTAAAGTGGGGATAAAATCTGCATCACAAGGTTTTACATTTGCCAGGCCCCTCACATTACCCAAAACAGACTAAGTATGTATCCCCTGGCAACTGTCCCACTTCACTCCGCCTTTACTCATGCCTTTCAAATTGTTCACAGAAAATAATAGTTAATTGCCTGGCACCAGTGGCTCATGCCTGTAATCCTAGCTACTCAAGAGACTGAGATCTGAAGATCAAGATTCAAAGCCACCCTGGGCAAGAAAGTCCATGAGACTCTTATCTCCAATTAATTAGCAAAAAGCCAGAAATGGAGCTGTGATTCAAATAGTAAAGCATTAGACTTGAGTGAAAAAGCCAAGCAAGAGCATAAGGCCCTAAGTTCAAACCCCAATCTAGGCACAAACAAACAACAACACTACCAAAACAACAATCTCCTCAGCATTTTAAGCACCAGACTATTTTTTCCTGTTTTTCCATATTTAAAAAAGAGATTAAGTGAGACATTCTCTTTTTGTTCTTTAGAAGGATGGCAGCATGCAACTTCTAGGCTGCTATTCTTCATTCATCATTGTGACCTCTGATTTCCCAAGGCTGTGTTACTCAGGACATACTTCTCCAGGGTTCATAAACACTGCTCATTTGCCCATGTGAATGGCTTTGAGGTAGACAGCGTGATGATTTTTTCTGCACCACATTTAACTTTCTGTGTATATTTTTGCGGAAGATAATGTTTGAATTCAGTTGTGATTTCAAAGCCCATGCTAATGGAAGATAGCAACAGAGGAGCCTAACATTGGGTTGTGGGCTGGGGCTGCAGATGAGTAAGATCCTGATTAAGAGTACAATGTGTTGCTGGTAACACACGAAGCAGAGAGTCCACATGTGTGTAGATTGTGCTTAATGACAGAACCAGATAAAGTAATACCAACACATCAGAGAGTAGTTGTCATACTAGGGAGTCTAACACCCCATCCGGTTGGTGTCTGAGCCCAGGAACCAGGAAGACCTAAAATTATTCCCAAATGGCCTCTTGCCTCTTATCAGAGGTCAGCAATACCACTTGGTTAACCCCGTAGTCCTCAGAACCATTAAAATGCTTGGTTTTATTTTATACCAGTAGTAAGACTTGGACTCCTGCGTGCTATCTATTGGCTTTTTTACACATGGCCTACCACTTGAACCATTCCTCTAGTTCCAACTTTATGTTGGTAAACTGAGAGTTTGCTTGGGCTGGCTTTGAACCTCAATCCTCAGATCTCTATCTCTTGAGTAGCTAGAGTTATAGCTGGGCAATGATGGTTCTCACCTATAATTCTAGCTACTAATATTCCTTTATCTCAATATTTAATCCAGGGCTCATCTTTTCTAGTTGACATCATTTTTCCAAACCTCTATGCATGCATCAAATTATTGTATCATTTCATAATTTCAGAAATTAATCCAACAAAAGATATGCACTCCTAAACATAGCCACCATGCTATTATCCTTTCTTTAAAGTGAGCAGTAATCCTTTTATTATGAATTATTATGTTACTATTATCAGTTAAGATACAGGAGCCTATTTATGAAGAAAGGCATTTATCCACTAACTCTTACATTACAAATTAATGCTTTTGTTCCTAGGGCACACAATATCAGGAAAACTCCTACTTGTAATGGTAGCCAGTCTGGAGGCTGAGATTTGACGATCATGGTTCAAAAGCAGCCCAGGCAGAAATGTCTGTGGGACTCTTATCTCTAATTGACCACCAAAAAGCCAGAAATGAAGCTGTGGCTCAAGTGGTAGAGTAGCTAGCTTTGAACAAAAAAAGCCCAGGCCCCGAGTTCAAACCCTAGGACCAACACACACACACACACACACACACACACACACACACACACACACACACACACAATGCACAATGTCACTTCACTATTACAGTCCTTCCCCACTTTCAGTGATTTGTTTGGGTAAGTATTTTCCAACTTACTGGCCTCAAATAAAATGTCGCATAAAATAGATATGAATGAAACTGTTCTGGGCTCATGCTGCCAACTAGTCACCTGGCCCTTTGTTTCCCCAAGTGAGCAGGCTGAGTGTGTAATATCTTCATTATTTCACCACAAGACAAATCGCTGAGAAAAGCAATGTAAGGCACAGGTGAGAACCACGCACATGGACATCTAAGGTCCAAGGAAAGGGGTACAACTTCCTTGTTAAGCTTCCGATTCATAAAAGCCATGTTTCATGTAAAAGTATTAAAACTGTTTGTTATAATGGGGTGGGATGAATTCACTGTGCTCATAAGTAATGACCCTACTCAGCTGACTGTGAATTGAGGTCTCCTGGGAAGAGAGATATTTGCCTGCAGTCAGGATTAATCTATAAAGGCAACCACCACCTAGACCCCAGCCGTCTTCACTTCCCCTTCATTGGCCCCTGTGGAATCACATTGTAACATAGATAGAGTCAAAATTAGGATGCCTTCCACATAGGAAAAATATATCCCTATGATTTTAGTACTTCAAAGCTAGAGTATTTCTTTAACTATATGGGATGTATATTTCCGTTATAGAATCAGTGATCTCCCAAGATATTATTTCTTGTCTGCCCCCCTCCATATTTATTAATTTCTTTTCCACACAGGACCCAGAGTAGATTCATGCCAAATCATGCTTGTTGGATATTTAAGAGCTGTTATTCAAATCCTGTCATGCAAGTTTGTTAAGTTGTGATTTGTACTTTGACCAAATTATCGGACTTTGACTCTCTTTATCTTCTAGTGGAGACCATATTTCTCCTTATTTCATTATAATATTATAGCGTAAGATAATATACCCAGTTCTATTTTCTTTGTCAGGATTGAAGTATAAATGGCTTTTCTTTTAGATCCTATGACTGTGGAAGGATGGAATCTGTTCTCCAAGATTTCTTAATCAAAGTAAATTCATCCTCTGTGTCACATTGTTGCTCTAGAATGTTTTTTTTTACAAGTTGAATATATAGTTGTATTTACTTTCAAATGAGATTGACTTTGAAGGTTATAAAGGTTTATTCTGGGTTTTTTTTTATTCTGGAGACTTAAAAAAATGCCAAGTGCAATAAGCAAGGATGTTCAGTAAGTACTAACTACCGTTGAGGAATGTACCTTAGTTTACATTTTACAGTTCTGAATTAGCTACTCAAGCCAAGCATTAAGGAAAACATAGAAAAGAAACAATTATTTTTCTCCCATAAAAGATTGTATCAAAAAAGTTCATGTGTTTCATTTAACTGTTTTGATTTACTCATTTAAAAAAATGTTTTTCTGTATCACTGATAGTTTGATACTGGCAAATATTCCTGCATTAACTAAAAGCAAAGAAAAGAATGAATCTGAAAACCCAAATCATGTCCCCCTTGTTAGAGAAAGGAGAAAACGAGAGCCCTTCCGCTTGAGGAACTACCAAAGAAATAAGTAGCGTGAATCAAAAACAATAGTTATGCCTCTGATCAGATAGTTACACTGCATATTTGCTTCATGACTAGAGGACATTTTCTCCCCCTCGGGAATATAAGTTTTACAGAAAATATGGAATCCTGCCCATCTCAAACTGGACTCATTTCCCAAATCAGCCTGCTAATACCAGGTCCCCACAGCTGGAGTAGGTTATGGAGAAAACAGGAATGCCTATTCTGACCAAATCTTTGACTCAAAATAAGTCATGTTAAGGATTGCCTTTGTCTATACCACAGGGTGATCAGGAATTACAATAAGAGGTAAGCAAACAAACACATTTCTCTGTAGGGGCTTCTTATTTTGGTTTGTTCTCCTTGGGTTCAGTCAGAAGTAATAAAATCCCACTGTAATTCTCTCTCCCATCCACAAGTGGAATTATAAGTTTCTGTGTATAACACAGTCTACAGAGCTTAGGCGGATGAAGAGGTCTGCTGGATGGAGATTAGGTCCACAGAATCAGGTTCCTACCTGTGTCTTCCCCCTACAAGCAGCTTTCCGCCTGCAGTTCTTTCCTACTCAGGACTTGTCAGGCGCTATTTGTTCCAAAGCCAGCAGGAGGCTCTCTGCCAAGATCTGTGGTTGGCTGGGGGGAGTCACACAGATACATAACAGATTTTATTCTGTCAGCCCAGGAGTGTGGTCGGCCAATTTCCAGTCCAGAGGACTGCTCTCTGGAGCCTTTGACATTTTAAGTTTAAAATAAATAAAGAGCTTTGTGTGATGTCACCAAGAGAAGAGGAGGGGCTGGGGACAAATGTTTCTGTCTGATCTGTAATCCCACTGATCCTCATCCCCCCCACCCCCCAGCCACTTCAGCCCTCACTTCTCCTACACCTCAGACAGAAGCCAGCCAGGATGACCTGGGGACAAACAGCTGATTAAACTAAGTTGGCTGGGAATGGGATATATGTTGGTTTTTTTTTTTTTCTGTTTTAGCAAATAAAACTCCTATCATTTTCTCTGAAAAAGTCTAATTGGTAATAATCATATTCCAATACTCTCACACAGTTGCTGCTCATTAATGAGTGTGGATCAGACTCATTATTTAAGGCATAATTTTATTATTAAATAGCTATCGACTGGTAATATATTTTTAACATATATTTTTTTCTGAAGATTTTACAGAGCCACACAATTTTCTTTCATGAACACATTAATGTTCATGAAGTCAACTAGGAAGCCAAATTCAGCAAGGGCAAAGTAAGGGAAAATGGAGTGACACTTAAAAATTAAAATATAATTTTTCCAGGAGCTATACAGGAGCCTGAGACCTGACCAGGCATCAAAAGCCTGTTAAGTCTCTTATCTCCAATGAACTACCAAAAAGTCAGAAGTGGAACCACCATGTAGTAGAGCACAAAAATAGCTCAGAGACAGTGCCCAGGCCCTGTGTTTGGGGCAAAAGAAATTAAACACTCTGATCTGGGAATTATAACTACAGCTTGGATATCTTTTGTTGCCAAATGAATCTTAGCTAGCTTCATCAAAAGTATGCAGTGCGAGCCTGGCATGGTAATATATCCCCATAATATCAGCTTCTTGGAAGTTGAGAGTTCAGGGCCAACCTAGAGAAGTTTAGCAATATGCTATCTCAAAACAAAATACAGCCAGGTGCTGGTGGCTCACACCTGTAATCCTAGCTATTCAAGATGAGGGCTAAGGATGAGGACACTAACCCAGGCAGAAAAGTCCATGAGTTTATCTCCAGGTAAACATCAAAAAGCCGTGCCTCAAGTGGTAGAGCAACCAGCCTTGAGCAAAAGTGCAAAGGGACAGCAACCACTCACACAGTTCAAGTTGTAGGACTGGCACAAATAAAAAACAAAAACAAGCAACAACATATGAGTATGAGGTAAGACCCTGGCTCTTAGGTGGATGGTCTCAGCTTGGTGGCAATGGGAAGTTCACCCAACCTCCTTCACCCCTTCACCACCTCCATGGCTCAAATCCTTTACTTAAAATTTGGGTAAGTGGTGTCTGCTTCCCAGAGTGTACATAGCCAATGAAAGGCCCTGCAGAATTAACAGAACCTTTTTTGTTCCTCCATACTCTCTACATCTCTGTTACCATGGCAACTCTGGCCTGGGAGACAGACAGAGACAGACAGAGAGACAGACAGACAGAAGAGAAAGGAGAGAGATGGAGAGTGAGAGAGAAAGGGAGGGAGGGAGGGAGAGATGTTCTTTCTTTACTTGGGTATAGAAATGCAGGGAAAAAAATGTCTGTGGAATCACCCCATCTTAAAGCTCAGGACCCAGATGGCAGGCTTGACTCACCTTGACCTGAGATGTCACTCTTCCCACTGTGGGGGGTCAGTCTAATAGTTGGTCAGATGTCGGTATGGCTTATGGAGCAGTAACTGTAGCCAGCAGCAGCAGCATACACAGGTCCTGCAACTGTGGCCCTTGCTTTCTCTCCTTTCTTCCTGAGGCCTCTAGGTAACCCATTGGTGACCTGGAACACTCTTAGTACTTTTTTTTTTTTTGCAGTCAAGTTTGGTAAACACATTCAGCAGCAGGAACTGGAGAAGGTGGGGTCCAGGGGCAATGCAAGCAAGACAGAAGATGCTTTGGCACCTGGCTTGAATACGACCTAGTCTGGAGAAGATGGAGATGCCCAATATTTTATTTTCACGTATAGAAAAACAAATCCATGTTGCTTTTATAAAAAACCAAATCTAACTCCTTCACTGTCTATGCAGAGTATCTATTTCTTCATTGTCTATGTAAGGAGAATGAAAAGATGGATTGAATTTCTTGGTAATTCAGAGTTGGTTAAACTTGTGCTTCCAAGTGTCTGATCTCATTAAGGATTTTCTGGAGCCTATACAACCTAGTCTCTGAATGTGTCATTCTCCAATTACAATTTATCTCCTCATTGTTTTCTTCTTCAGCTATTCCAAATTCAGCATCCTCTAGAATTCCCCAAGCAAGTACCCTCTCCACTTAAAAAGGCTGTACTGGGCTGGGAATGTGGCTTAGTGGTAGAGTGCTTGCCTAGCATGCATGAAGCCTGGGGTTTGATTCCTCAGTACCACATAAGCAGAAAAAGCAGAAGTGGTGCTGTGGCTCAAGCAGTAGAGTACAGGTCTTGAGCACCTAGGCTCTGAGTTCAAAATCCAGGGCTGGCAAACAAAAGAAAGAAAGCAGGGGAGGGAGGAAAAGGAGGGAGGGAGGGAAAGAGAAAGAAAAGAAAGCAAGCTTCTGTCAGTTAGCAAAGTTATACATACTTCCTTTATGTTTGTGATTTGTCATTTTACTTGATTTATGGAATTGTTTTGCAAATCTGAAATTATTTACTCATGATTTGTCTTGTTTTAAGGTGTTTACACTTTTATTTATATATTACTCTAAGAGTCATGGGTATTTTAGTTAGCTTAGAAAGCTCTGCTATGAAAATTGTCATTTCCTTAAATATTTCTCATTTCTATCTTTATTCCTATCAGAGTAGATATATACTTAGACCTATCTACAATTTTTTTTCTGTTTCTTAATCCTTTTTTTTTTAATTTGTTGCCAGTTCTGGGGCTTGAACTCTGGGCCTGGGCACTGTTCCTGAGCCTCTTTATGCTCAAGGCTAGTACTCTATCACATGAGCTTTTTTTGAGTGATTTATTGGAGATAAGAGTCTCACAGACTTTTCTGCCCAGGCTAGCTTTGAACCATGATCCTCAGATCTCAGCCTTCTGAGTAGCTAAGATAACAGGTGTGAGTAACTGGCACCTGGCTTTGTTTCTTAATCTTTTTATGTGTTCAATGCCTTGTCTCCTTATGTCAAATTCTGGATATGTTCTGATTTAATATTATAGTTCAAAACTTCCATCTTAAGCTAGAACTAGTAATATTTTATTAAATCTCTCCATTGATTGCATTTTTAATTATTACATTTTTTGTTCCTAAGTATTCTAACTCTTGTTCGACCTGATATACTTTATAGTTTGTTGCTCTTGCCTCATATTTTCAACATGCTTATTTACTTCTGTAAACATATTACACGATTTTTTTTGGTTGGTCATGGGGCTTGAACTCTGGGCCTGGGCACTGTCCCTGAGCTCTTCAGCTCAAGGCAAGCACTCTACCACTTGAGCCACAGCAGCACTTCTGACTTTCTGGTTGTTAACTGGAGATAAGAGTCTCATGGACTTTCTTGCCTGGGCTAGCTTTGAACTGTGATTCTCAGATCTGAGCTTCCTGAATAGCTAGGATTACAGGTGTGAGCCACTGGTGCCTGGCTACATAAATAATTTTAACTGTATTTTTTTGTCTTTTCTTTTTCAGCTTTGAGGCTCTAACCCAGGATGTTGCACTTGCTAGGTAAGTGATTTGCAACTGAGCTACATCCCAGCCCATATATATATATATATACACACACACACACACATACATACACATGTATATGCATATATATACATACACATGTATATGCATATATATACATACACATGTATATGCATATATATATATATATACACATGTATATATATGGCTTAAACTCAGGGCGTGGGAACTGTCCCTGAGCTAATCAAGTCTTGTACCTTACATTTAAGCCACAGCTTCACTTCGGCTTTTTTGATAGTTATTTGAAGATAAGAGTCTCACAGATTTTCCTGCCCGGCCTAGCTTCCAACTTTGGTTCTCAGATCTTGACCTCCTGAGTAGCTATGATTACAACTCACCCCTAGTCAGCTGCTCTACCCCTTGGCCACACTTCCAGAATCATTTATAATTAATGATTATAGATTATAATTAATGATTGTTTATAGACTATTTATAGATATTATAAATCAGCTGCCATCAAGAAGTATTTTTTTCATGGGCCTTTAAGTTCTCAAGGGCAATTTTGTTCCCCATTCAAAACAGCACGTTCTGTTACAGGAGATCTCCTGGGAGGAGAAGGTAAGGGTTTAGTTAGGCAATCATTCACTGAAGGTGCAGCCCTTTAGGCCCGTATCATGGTGAGTAAGATCTGGGCAGAGTTCCCCCACCTTCTATGTTGGGTAGTTCTCTGGTGCCATTTCCAATCTCTCCATTCTCTGAGTGGAAGTTGATGCTCAAGAGAATGGACTTTGGCAAACATAGTCAAGACAAAGGCTACCTTCTGTATTGCTATCAAAATGTCAAATTCCATTAGAATCCATTTGGAGTCTTTTAATTTTTTTTTCCAAGTCTATCCTGTAACAAAGGGGTTGACTATCCTATGAAAAATGTTTATGTCACCAATGGAGCTGAAGCATGCAGATGTAAAAACCCAAGCACAGAACCTGGCACTGGTGACTCACACCTGTAATCCTAGCTTCTTGGGAGGCTCAGATCTGAGGATTGTGATTCAAGACCAGCCCAGGCAGGAAAGTCCGTGAGGCTCTTATCTCCCAATAACCACCAAAAAGCCAGAAGTGGAGCTGTGGCTCAACTGGTAGAGCACCAGCCTTGAACACAAAAGCTAAGGGACAGTGCCTAGGCCCTGAGTTCAAGCACTAACACAAACACACAAATTGAACACAGAATGTATAAACCTGGCTGTTAGGCTCTGTGTGTGTGTGTGTGTGTGTGTGTGTGTGTGTGTGTGTACCTTAGGGAGTATGATTCTAATTTAGTTGGGTTCTTACACTTTTTCTAGAATTATCTATATGGTTCCTTGCTTTCCCTGGCCCCTTTCTATTTCTATTTGATTTGAAACAAAAAAAAATGTTTATTTGGAAAAAAAAAAAAAGGAACACTTAGCTTGCAACAAATGCTGAGAAATTTCTGTTACTTAGTCTTAGAAACAACAAATCACTCACAGAAGGCCACAGTTCAGAGGAACACAAATTGTAATAGGTTGAAATGGGAAAATGGCTCTTTTATAAATGAAGTTGACCCAAAATTTCCAGCAGGACAATTGCCTGAAGGAAAGTTTCCTGGGCTCCAGCCTGTGAGGCCTAACAATGGATCACAGAAGCCTGCACAGATGGTTGCGTTCTAAAGTGTGTCTCGTGTTAAGTGTGTCTCGTGTTACCGTATTTGCTTCCTATTGTCTCCCCTCAAGTCTACAAGGGAACAGGGAAAATGCTATAACTTTTGAAAAGTGTAAAGAATATTTTTAGGACATGTACAAATACTAACCCTTGATTTATCTTAGACATCTCTTCTTCCTATTTCAGAAATGTGTTCTCAGTTAAAATAAGATTGCTTGCTGCAGACGCTTATTTGTCTTCTTTACTGTCTTTATAGCTAGATAGATCTCTCTGGGTGTTTACTTAGAAAATCTCTTCTACATTCCTGTCTCAAAGGGTAGTTATGCCACCATTCAACTTTGTTTTGGAGAAGCAGGAGCCTGGCACTTGTTCTTAACCTTTTCTGTCATCGCAATTACTGCCTTTGTGGCCTAAATTCTCAGAGCCATCATATATGTACATGTATGTATATTTCTAATATGATAATTTTGCTCTAAAGTTTCAGATTATTATTATAAGTACCTAACTCTGTGTGTGTGTGTGTGTGTGTGTGTGTGTGTGTGTGTGTGTACCAGTACTGGGTCTTGAACTTGCTTAGGTTTTTGCTCATGGCAGGTGCTCCACCAATCGAGCCACACTCCCTGATTCACAAGTACTTAACTGATCTGCCTGGGTTGGCTTCAAACCACAAACCCTCAGATGGAAGCCTCCTGAGTATGTAGGATTACAGCCTGGGGCACCAGCACCCAGCTAAAATTTATTTCTTCTTATTTTTTTAAAATTTTATTCATTTTTGTGCCAGTTCTGAGGCTTGCATTCAGGACCTGGGCACTGTCCCTGAGCTTCTTTTCTTAAGATTAACTCTCCATCACTTGAGACACAGCTGTACTTTTGGCTTTTTTTAGTAGTGTTTAATGGAAATAAGAGTCTCGCAAACTTTTCTGCCCTGGATTAGCTTCAAACCACAATCCTCAGATCTCAGCTCCCTGAGTAGCTGGGATTGCAGGAGTGAGACATGAGCACCCAGCTTAATTTTATTTTTAAATAACCAAATAAAGTCATATAGCTGTATCATGTACAATATGATATTTTGATAAATTTATGTTTCACAATTCAGGCTAATTAATGTACATTCCTCACATACTTATTCTTTGTAGTGAGAACATTTAAAGTCTCCTACCTTAGTAATTTTAAAGTTAAAAAAAGTATCATTAATTGTAGTCACTGTGCTGTAAAATAGCTCTCTTAAGCATATTCTTCCTATCTAACTGGGCTTTTCATCCTTTGACATCTTTACAATGTTCCTACTCCTCAGATTTTATTGATTGCCTTCCTGCCCTTAGTCCTTTCTGTTTTCTAGGAGCTGAACAAGACTACATTCTACTTTAGGTAAATGATACCACCCCAGTAAAAGCTTACTTTAAGCCTGTAGACAATGAGATGATAAACTATTAATTTTTTTGGGGGGGGTCCGGTCTTGGGGCCTGAACTCTGGGCCTGGGCGCTGATCCTCAGCTCTTCAGCTCAAGGCTAGTGCTCTACCACTTGAGCCACAACGCCACTTCCAGCTTTTTTTCTTTTTGCTTATGTGGTGCTGAGGAATCGAACCAAGGGCCTCATGCATGCAAGGCAAGCGCTCTACTACTGAGCCGCCTTCCCAGCTCCTTAATTTTTTTTTAAAAAAAGGAACTATTTCTTGGCACATGCACTAGCTCTTCATATTTCCTTATTATGTCTTTTTTTTTCTATCTGATGTGCTACAAAAAAGGTTTTAAGATAGAAAATACCTTTCTTACATTATTTGGGATTTGAAGAAAAATGTGCCCAACTCACCTACAGCTCAGACCAAACCCAAATTTGTTCTTAACATTTCAACCACTAGATCAGTCTCTAGATTAACCCTCCTATTTAACTAATACAAACCTCTCTCAAAGAATGATGAAATAGAACCATGCGAGGCTGGCTCATGCTTATAACCCTAGCTTCTCAGGAGTCTGAGCTTGGAGGATTGTGATGTGGAGCTATCCCAGACAGGAAAATCTATCTTATCTCCAATAAACTACCAAGAAAAAGCTTGAAGTGAAGCTGCAGCTAAAGTGGTAGAGCACTAGCCTTGAGCAAAAAGGCTCAGGAACAGTGTCCAGGCCCTGAGTTCAAACTCCAGGACTGGCACAAAAATAAATAACAAAGAAGAAAGATGGAACAGAATGCTCTTGTTCCCTAGTCCTTTGCCTACTCATGCCCACAAATTATCTATCTTCTTAACTCACTTCTTGCTGCAACAGGATGTAGTCCTTGCCAGAGCAGGAGGAAGATAAAATTCTGAGCAGGCCCTTACTGCTTCATCTTTTCACAGTGAGGCAGTCTAATAACTAGCTAGCAGCACAAAACACGGTAGCTTATCGACCTTGGAATTAAAAGGGCCATTGGAAGCCATTTAACCCAACAACCCAAGTTATGCAGGTATACTCTCTGAAACGCTCTAAGCAGAGGAGAGAGAGCATTTATACTGACACTCGAAAGTCCTCATTGACAAATGGGACATTTCACTGAGCTGAATACTCTTTAAGGCAGCATGAAGGGTCTATCAAAGGCCTCCCCCATGCTCACCAACAAATGCAACATTCTTTTGAATAAAGCAAGATTGTGGTAGCCAATACTTCACTTTGGCAGTGGTGTGGCTTTGTGAAGTGCCTGTGCATGCTTTAAAACCAGAGCACATACGTGCACCCTCACACAAACACAATAATCACTGCTTTAATAGGCAAATGATTACTTCATTGCATAGATAAGCTCAGAGATAGAGACTTGGCCATTCTTCTGCTTCTACCTGCCCTACCTTCCCAACTCTCTTGCTTTGCTGTCAAAATGCTACATTCCCTGTAAGAGTGTCACAACTAGACAGAAACTTCACTATCTATCCTGGCCAAGTCAGGGAGAAAATAATTTCCTTTGGTTTGCTTACAAGGTACTACTTTAATAAAGAGAAGAGAGAACTGCCCGATAAATAAATGGGCTAAAGACTTAAAGAGAAACTTCTCTGAAGAGGAAATAAGAATGGCCAATAGACACATGAAGAAATGCTCAACTTCTCTAGCCAT